AGTCGAAGGAGTGCAGCTCGTGGTCACGCTGTGCTGCTACGTGTGGCAGTGCCCGAAGAGTAATCATCTTCGGGGTCCGGGCGAAGGTCTGAAAGAAGTCCACCCCCTCATGCGGACTGAAGCCTTGAGCAACATTGCATGCCTTGAAGACAGGCGGCTCTCAGGGAGGGCGCTTCACCTTGAAGAGCCATCGACCATCGACTACGTTCACCCCAAGTGGGGGACCTGCGTCGACTAAGGTACTGGTAGATCTCCAAGATGCCATCTCCTGCTCCATGGCAGCTATCCACTGCGAGGCCTAGGGTCCCGAGGTGGCCTCAACGTAGGCGCGAGGGGTCGGGATGTCGAAGGCATCTGGGTCACTCTCAGGGACTAGCAGCATGGAACAGAGATAGGGAGCGGCCTTGGACAGGAAAGCAAGCTCGTACTGTCTATCCTCTAGGACGTCACTGACAAGGGCAGCCACACCCCCGACCGACAGAGGGCAGGCAGGGTCAGAGACCTGAGCGGTGACGTAGTCAAGGCGGGGGGTAGCGGCGAAGTCGGTGACAGCAGCGACAAGAGCCGACAGACTCGAGACAGGAACGGACGAGTCGGTAACAAGAGAGGCAAGGACACGAGCAACAAGGGGACGCACAGCACGAAGGAAGTCAGAGAACGGGGACTGGGCCACAGCAAGTGACGACAGAGGAGGAGACGGGAGGAGCGGAGGAGCACGAGACGTGTGGTAGCGAAGCAACATAGGGTGAGACCGCTAAACAGGGGAGGTAGGACGAGCACGAGACGGAGGACGAGACCAGATGTGAGACGGAGGAGTCGGGTCACGAGAGAGGGGAGGAGACACAGGAGGAGAACGGGGAGGGAAACGAGCCGGAGAGGAGTCCGGGGGAGGAAAAACTGGGCTGTAGATTGGCGGAGGAGGAGGCGGCGGCGACGAAGGAGGCACCGGCAGGCGGTCAGGGGAAGGAAGACCGAGGAGGCGAAGAGCGGACACCGGCGACGAGTGCTGCGACTGCTGCCCGACTCCAACATCAAGACCTCCTGCGACAGCACGGCTCCCGCCGAGAAGCTCCACGCCAGCATCCCCAGAACGGGAACCCGCTCCAGCACCCGCTCCGGCACTCTCCCCAGCACCCCCAGAATGCACGAACCCTAGCGGCGGAGACAGCAACGGCGGCGACGGGGGAGAAGAGATCGGGGCGGGGAGGGGCGGGGGAAGGGACTTCGCAACGCCGCGAGAGTTAACAGACTCCTAAGCAGGGACACCTGACGACAGAGGGGTGACGCGAGACAAACCAGACAGGGCAGGGAGGGGAGGGGGGGGGAGCCAGGGCAACCGGGGGGGGGGGAAACAAGGAATAGGTGGGGGGTAACCGGGGGACCACGGTGGGGAAAGCGGTGGTAAAAGGAGGCGGACTCGTCAAAGGTGACGTCATGGGAGTAAAAGAAGCGGTGAGACGGCGGGTGGTAAATGTGCCAGTCGGACGAGTCGAGGGGGAAACCTAGTAAGGCATAGGGGACGGTGCGAGCAGTGAGCTTGTCCATGCCAGAGGCACGAACGTGAGCAAGGCAACCCCAGACGTGGAACGCAGATGCGGTACCAGAGGAACCGGTCCAGAGGAGGGTCGGTGAAACCTAGGGCTGCTGAGGGTGCGGCCACAGGTTAAGCTGGTGAGCGGCTTAGCGAACAGCAAATGGGGTGCACCGGCATGGATCATGGAGGTACGAGCCACCTCCATGACCAAACAGATGTGTCACTCAGCGACCCCATTCTGCTGCGGGGAGTCAGGCAGGGTGTACGTCTGGGTGATGCCCTCCACATGATAGAAGCAACCAACAGCGTGAGGCGAACTCGCCACCACGGTCGGAGTGAAGACGCAACACAGGGAGACCTCGTTGAACACGCGCAAAGACAAGCCACGGGATCAGAGCGTCGGGCACATTGGCCTTCCGCTCCAGGGGAAACACCGTGGTGTAGCGCGTGTAGTCGTCGACAAGCACTAGGAAGTAGCGCTCTCGATGCGGCCCATGGACGGGGGCGGGGCCCAAGACGTCCATGTGCAGGGTCCGCAGCTGTGTGGCAATGGGGGGGAACGAGGAGGAGTGAGGGGCACGGTGGAGCCGGACCTCGACACAGGGCGTGCACGGAGGCGCTTGGGAGGAGGGTAGCGCAGGGAACGACTCAGGGAGACCTAAGACAAGACCGTGGTGGGACAAGTGACGAAGACATGGGAGGGCAGGGTGACCTACACGGTGGTGCCACAGAAGCGTTGAGTGAGTAAGCGACTGACACGAGAAAGCCGCAGCAACCTGGGTAGACGCAGACACCTGGGGAGACGTCCCAACCAGGGGGGATGCGGTATCCAGCATGAACAAGCCAGACACCGGGTCCCGGAGGAATGTGGTGAGGGGAGCACCAGTGGCGGCCTCGGTACAAACAGCGTACAGTTCGTGACCAGGGAACGTAGTGGTGATGCCAAGGTCCTGGATGCAACCGACACCAACTAGGTTCCTAGAGAACGAGGGGATGTGCATGCCTGTAAGGGAGCCCGAAGGAACAGCGGGACAGGGAATGGTGGTGGAGCTACGGGGGACTAAAGGACCTGAGGACGGGTCTGCAAGGGCAACTGCGGCGGGAACGGCAAGCGGCGTAAGCGTAGTGGAGTCCCGAAAGAAACACCGGGAAACGCCGGAGTCCAGGGTGAAGGAGAGCGCGGCAGTGGTGGCAGGGGTCGGAGGAGTGAGGGTGGAGCCAAGGCTAAACAAAGCAGGGGATCCTACGCCTGACGCAGCAGGGGAGCCTGAACTAGGCACACCTACACTAGGCAACAAGGGGTAATAGGAACCAATCACACTAGATTCATCGACACAGAGCACATACAAAGCAGAGCTAATCTTGTCCATGTCCATATCAAAGATCCTAACATAACGGCGGAGCAGACTGTGCTAGTCGGGGAGGTCTGGCGCCGGGCCGAAGCGGATTTGAAACAGGTCGTCTAGGCAACTGAAACAACGAGTGGGGGTATGGTCGATCTTTCCGCACACGAGGCCGCGACGAGGACCAGTCTGGAGCTGGTACTGGCAGCGCCCGTCACTTGGACCACCACCCGATATCATGCTACGCGCACAACCATTGCGACCACCTCCACCATCTGTGCCAGGCCACCCCGGTAGGAGACGGCCGACCCGCTGCCACTGCTGCTGCTGCTGGTCCAGCTGTTGCGCCTGCTACTGCTACTGCTAGGGCTGCTACTCCGAGGCACCAGCCCCAGCCCCCTCGTCAGTACTACCAACGGGCAAACCACCTCCACCACCGCCTCCACCCCCTCCTCCACTACCTCCGCCGCGCCCAGCCTTGAGATGGTGACCCTTACCCGGACGGAACTGCGCTGCTGCAGCCGCGACGACTGTCTCCGCAGCAGGGGCTTTCTCAACGACAGCAGCAGAACCATCAGAGTATGTGCACTAAGCGGGGGTACAGCTCTGAAAGATAGGGACCGGCACATTACCGCTATACTGGGCAATAGAGCGCTGACAGGTTTCTATGGCAGACAGGGTGTCGACAAAGTCAGTGAGGGTGAGGTCAGCGGGGTGGAGACTAAGAAAGTGATCGCGGGCGGTAGCAAGGCAGTCAGGGAGCCAGGTGGCAAGCAGAAAGAGGGTAGAGCAGATGGGGGGCTGGAACTCACAAAGCTGGGCCTCAGTGCAGGCAGCGCTCCAGGTCGTGTCTAGCGTGCGCAAGTGGGCGGCTTGGTTAGCGACAGTGGAGAACGACGCGAGATCAGGAAAGATCATGGGCAGGATCAGGCGACCGACGGAGGCAGAGGGCGGGGTGGAATAGCGCGCGACAACAGCCTCTAGGAACTCCTGCGCAGTCCTGACCGACCTAAAGCGAGGGCGCTCAGAGAGGGGGAGGGCATGACTGATCGCGAGCTGTGCGACAGCGTTACGCGACAACCAGACAGCACGGGCAAGGGCAGCCGCGGCAGCGGACTCACGGTCAGCAGACGTGGGGTCAGCGGGTAGAGCAGCAGGGGGGTAAGGGCAGGGGAGCGTACCGTCGATGTGGACGGCCAGGGAGTGGCCGTCCTGCCACTGACCAGTAAGGTGTCGGCGGAGGTCGACGAGCCACGTGTCGAACTCAAGGAGGCAAAGCGGCGAGGTCGCGGGCCGGCTGGTCAACAGAGGCTGCGTGACGGCTGGAAGACGGGGCCGCGTGGCGGCTAGGAGACGGGGTCGCGGGCGGCTAGGCGACGAGGCCGGCTAGGTGACGGGGCCGGCTGGGCGACGGGGCCGGCTAGGCGACGGGGCCAGCTAGGCGACATGGCTGGCTGTGTGACGGGGCCGGTTGGGCGACGGGGCCGGCTAGGCGCCAGGGCTGGCTGGGCAACAGGGCCGACTAGGCAACGGGGCCGGCTGGGTAACGTGGCCGACTAGGCAACGGGGCCGGCTCGGCGACGGGGCCAGCTAGGCGACAGGGCCGACTAAGAAACGGGGCTGGCTGGGCGACGGGGCCGGCTAGGCGATGGGACCGGCGAGGCGACGGGGCCGGCTGGGCGACAGGGCCGGCTAGGCTACTGGTCCGGCTAGGCGATGGGGCTGACTAGGCAACGGGGCCAGGTGGGCGAAGGGGCCGGCTAGGCGACGGGTCCGGCTAGGCGACGGGACCGGCTGAGCGACGGGGCCGATTACGAAACGGGGCCAGCTAGGCGCTAGGTGACAGGGGCCACTAGGGGACGGGCCAACATGGGCGGGAGGGCGACAGGGCGGCTAGGACCTATGGCGGAGCGCTGGTGGGCGGGGGGGACCTAACCTACTCATGATACCATATCAAAGTTAACGAAATGTCTAGAACCATGGCATACGTACAAGGGAATATAACCTAGTGGGTTGTGCTGTCTAAAGCACAACCTTGTGTAGTCTATAACAACATACAAGGATATGTTTGACAATTACAACGATGTGAGTTGAAATAGCTAAGGTTTTTGGCTAGATAGGAAGAATAGCGAGAGAAAAGAGGGTTGACTAGGAGAGATAGAGGTACAAGAAGTGGGTTGTACCCTCTACAGTAGGATCCAGTCATTTGTAGAACACCCAACACCTACCAAGCCTACACAACTATATATATAGAATATATAAGTTGACAATGTGCACTGTACACGCATGGTGCTGTATGAAATTACAGAGGTTTGCACTATACACACATGGTGCTGTATGGACGCATCTGTAGTGTGGAGTTGTGCACATTCCAGTCAATAGCGGCGTGTGATGTATGGCACAGGCTGGGGGTTGAAGCGCTCGTGATAAATACGCAGAATCGCCGCTGCTGTGTCCTCGATGGCCCTCCCTGTCACATCTGCATGTCCGTGTGTGCATGCAGTCAGGCAGTCAGGCAGTCAGGCAGTCAGGCAGTCAGGCAGTCAGGCAGTCAGGCAGTCAGGCAGTCAGGCAGTCAGGCAATCAGGCAATCAGACAATCAGGCAATCAGGCAGCACCAGCACAAGGCATTCAATCATGCACCCAGCACCACACAATACTGGACACCGCAGAGAAACCGAGGCAAACTCGGCACACATCATGCGCCATGAACCAGGCAATATGTGCCTTTTGGTCGAGACAAAAGCTCACGACACGGAGAGCAGTAAGAGCATGGGTGAGAGCGTACCGATGACGGGCCAGAGGGGGTGTTGGGTGAAGAGGTGATGAGCGAACTCCACCTCTTGCCGCACATGCTCCGTGCTGTAGTAGCTCGCTGCCGCCCCTAACCCCCCCCCATACACCCCTCCCCCCTCCCTCGCCCACCACGCTGCCCTGCCCGCCTCGCCCCTGCTGCTGTGCTGCACGCCCAGGCGCTGGTAGCGCGTGCGGCGGATGGCCTGGAGCGAGGGCGCGTGGATGGTGAGTGCGAACACGCGCTGCTGCTCCGCCTCCAGAAGTGCGCCTGGCGGGGGCACGCCCAGCACCAGAGGCACGTTTGCCACCTGCCGTGACGGGCAGCCAGGGGGGTGGTGGGTGGGGGAGCAGGGGGGACAGCTGGGGGATTATAGTGCAGGCGTGCGGTTGCCATGGGTGCCATGGGGCAGTGAGCGATAGAGCATTCGGTGCTCGCTGCATGGGACGCTAGTAATGCACCGACCAGGTGCGAGGTGAGGCAGCCAAGGGAAGGGCGGACTAGCGCTTTCAAAGGCTGACTAACCGCGGGGATCAGGTGGCAATACTCAACCCACGAACCCAGGAGTTGCCACGAATTCTCAATCGGGAAAAGAGGGGGTAGGGCACATGAGGTGAGATGGGAAGTGGATACTACAATCTGGTGCAGCACCCCAGGAAAGACACACTACTGGTTGCACCCAGCATCTGCAGGCCCGACCTTGTAGCCCATGTGGCCCAGGTAGGAGCAGAGCGGCGTCTTGCCCGTGCGCGACACGCCCACCACTATGATGTCCGCCTGCCCCAAGTTGCGTGGTAAAGCGCCGTCGTCCTGCCTGGCGGGCGGAGAGAAAGGAGAATGGTGCGGGGCACACAGAGCAAGCGATAGAAAGCAGTGAGCCAGTGGAACACAGGGAGGGGCGGCGCGGGGAGTGGGCACGCATTGGCATGCAACGGCGGCAGGGACATGCGAAGCACTGCCACGGTGGCTACAGGGATGGCATGGCACCCTTGCCCTGGCTTCGCCAGGGCAAAGCGGCAGCACACACGGGGATGAGGGAGAACGGGGCGAGTCACACAGCAAAGGTTTGGAGGGAAAGAGGGAGGAAAGCCTCACTTGATGCTGAACTCGATGGCCTCGATCCGCCTCATGTACTCCTCGCTCAGAGCCTCTTCCCCCCCGCCCCGCATCCCTCGCCCCCCCTGCGCGGCCCGTGCGCCCACGTGCCCCTGCAGGGCAGCGAGCAGCGGCGCCAACACGTCCACCGCCTGCACCCGCAGCGCTGCAGCCGCGCCCGTGGCTGCTTGGCGCAGGGCGGGGTCGGCTATAGTGAGCACGAGCAGCGCGCTGGCAGACGCTGCTGCGCGCACTATGCTGAGGAGAGCTGCCGTGCCAGCAACCTGAAGGGGGGGAGAGGGCGGAGTGGGAGGGGTCGAGTTAGCGGCCACACATCCACACGCCCACCAGCGGCGCCAACACGCCCAGCACTCGTGGCGCCTGCCTCGCTGCACGCGTCGGCGGGTGGCGCAGGGCGGGGTGGGTCAGCGTGCACAGGAGGAGGGCTCGAGGTGATGCTGCTGCGCCTGATTCGTCCAGTGCTTGATTTACTACCAATCACACATTTCCCGAGCACCTGGTACCTGCGAGTACAGCCTCGTCTGCACGCAGCACTGCCCCTCTGCTCCGCCGCACCCCAGCTGCCCCAGTGCCGCCCGCACTGCCCCGTCTGCCGCCCACCCCGTGCCGTCCGACACCACGAAGATCTCCTTGCCGCCCCACGCCGCCCCCCTGCCATCCCCGCCACCACTGGTTGCTGCCAGCGCGCCACGCTCTCCGTCCATCACCACCGCAGTCGCCACGCCTACCAAGGCCGTGCTGCCTCCCCCCTCATCCTTTACCGCCGCGCCACCACCCTCCTCCCTCGCACCCATGCGCCCATTCCCTCCCGCCCTGCTCCCCCAAAGAACCCCCCGTGGACTGGGGTTGGGGCTGGGCGTGGTGGGCGTGGTGGGCGTGGTGGGGGCGAGCCTGCTGCTCTCTGCCTCGCTCATGCTGCTCTGCCTGCTGATGACGTCATCCCTCGCTGTAGTCACACTGCCATCGCTATCGTCCATGAGCATGCGAGTGCGAGTCATCACGCCGTCCTGCCCATGCTCACTTTCGCTGCCCGACTCGCTCTCCGACCCGCTGCTGCTGCTGCTGCTGCTGGATTCAGGGAGAACGGAGGGAGGAAAACGGCAGCGGTTGCGTGAATTGGAGGAGCAGCAAGGGAAGGCGAGCAGCGCGAGGGGAGCAGGTTCAAGCGGAGCGGGCGTTGCGCGTACCTGTCGACGTCCATGTCTGCGCGCATGCCCTTCAGCGCCGACCCACCCGCGTGGGGCTGAAACGCAACCATAAAGCCAGGAAAGGAGAGCATGGGAACAAGGCGGGAAGGGAATGGCTTGAAAGGAGATGTCTCGGCCAGGGGCGTGCGGCCAACTCGAAGCGCTTAGAATCCGTGACGGGCAAGACATGGGGCGGGTGCCAGTGCGCGAGGCATGCGGCGGGTGCAAGAGCGCGAGGCACGCGAGCGCGTGCTGCAGTCCACGGGGAGTCACTCCGTACCTCCGCGCCGGCTGCCCGCCCCTCGCCGCCGTCAACCACTAGCGGCGCCATGCCTGTCGGCCCTCCTAGCTTCCGTCTTGCCCGCGCCCACTGCTTATGTCTGGGGCTGCTTATTCGTCGCACAACGTCGCCGCCAGTTGCAGTCACAGTCGCCCCCCCGGCTGCTGCCATCGCAGAGCGAATGGCGCCTGAAACTGCTGCTCCTCCTGCACCCGCCATTGAAGGCGATCGCGCCTACAGCCCCGCCCTCTCCGCGGAAAATGGAAATCGCGATAGTCAAGGCTCCCCTCGTCCCTTGTGAATCTACTGTGCAAGTGCAGCACTGCCACAATCGGGACGCTCACCGATTCAAAGATCAAGAAATGCAAAGAACGGTGTGGAGTGCAACAAGGCATGTCATGAGTGGGGTGCAAGCCGCGTGGTTGCATTGTTACTGATTCTCCTGACCCAACACCACCCTCCCCACTTCCCGAGGGATTCTGCTCCCGTGCTGCCTGCTTGGGGGGCTGGGGGGCTGGTTTGTGTTCTGCTCCGTCCACCTTGGCGTTTTCGTACAGGTCACCGTCAGCATCAGTCGACGATAACCTCGTTCGTGAGGAGATCGCGAGATTCGTCGAAAATCAAGAATGGTTCAAAACTTTCGACCCTTTTTTCCCGCGATGTATGGCATGCCCCCGTTACCCAAAACGGTCAACCCCCTCCGACTGTACCCGTTTTCGTGTTGGGTTCAGATGCCACTACGTTTTTTCGGGGCAACTGGTTTGGGCAGCATGTGTAGGGTCCAATAAGGAGAAATATGACAAACAAGGTCCAATAAGGAGAAATATGACAGACAATGATGGCACATTAAGGGCAGCAGCATTCCAAAAAGGCACGCGCAATCATTTTGGGCACAACGCCCGGATTTTGACAAGAAAGCGGATGAGGTTTTCGTTGAACTCGGATTCCGACGGGGAATTAAAAAATAAATTAAAAAAAAAGGGTTTGAACCCGGATTCTCACGGGTGAACTTTGGCAGAACTGGCTATGAAACCAGGATTTGACGGGTGAATTTTGACAGAACAGAGTGCTGAACACGGATTCTGACGGGTAGCTTTGGCCAAATTTCCGGATCTGACCGGTGCCCCAAAAACCACGCGTAAGCCCCGACACTTGCGAGAGTCAGATGACTCCAATACGTGTGTTCACGCCAGGTGCAGGGGACAGGCAGGCACGGGCAGATTTTTGTCGCGACCTATTAAATGCATGTTTGCGCAACAATTGAATTGGGATCCGGCAAATGTTTTCACAGCGACCCAAAATTACATTGCCAATATTCGGCACATCAAAACGAAAACGGGTACAGTCGGGGGGGGGGGGGGGGGGGGTCGACCGTTTTGGGTGACGGGGGCATGCCATTCATCGCGCGCAAAAAGGGTCGACCGATTTTAAGCAGTCTTATTTTTTGTCAAAATACATGATTTCCTCCTTGTTCGTTGAACTGGCGGCGATGTACAAGCCAGCACCTGCAGCGCAGCGAGTGTTCGTTCCTGCTGGGGATTCACGTGTGCTGACACGAGCGTTGTATCAACTGTCGTGTACTATGAGCTGGACACCGTGTACCGCGTTAGAAGATACCGCACTTTCAAACAGAAATATTTACGCATACCCCTAACCTAGGTATACTGTTGTGTGTGCAATGGTCTCACGTACATTACAAAGATTCCATCACCGAGAACACGATACAGAATAAATGCAGGGAGAACAAGCTTCTGTTGAAGTATACTCGATAGAGTTACTACTTATGCATTCCTGATATCATATTTAGACTGTACTAGTAGCGCGATACTTCATATGGAAGGACGTCAGCAGAAGGGAGTCAACACGTGAGCAGTGTTGTGATATGATTCATACTTAGCATTTCTGTAAGTCGATTATCGATAGATAGTGTCGAATCCTACTGTAGAAGAGAAGTACGTAGGATGATGTCAGCAAATAGTGCTCGTCATGAGGATAGTCGTTTCAGTCACGCGAACAGTCGCGTCTCTTCAGTATCGTTTAGGGCGCATAGCGCGATAGTATCGAACAGGTACTTCTGTAGCGCAACAACAGCAAACACAGGCAACAGCACAACAGTTCTCAACTCAGTCAGTTTCATCAGCGTTTAGTGGAATGAGCCTTGACGGCTCAAGTTACATGCGTGGAGCTCCAGCTCCAAGTACCGACTCATTTGCATTTGCACCTTTTACGCAGCAGCCGCAGTCTCAGTAGCAACTGCCCTTTTACATCTTCGGGTGTTCACCTGCTCAGCAGCAACAACAGCAACATCCACAGCAATTTCAGCAACAGCAATATCCACAGCAATTTCAGCAACAGCAACAACAGCAACAGCAACAACAGCAACAACCTCAACAACAGGGTATTGTTTTTCAGCCGCCGAATCTACTTAACAGCACACAAATCAATACCACTATACCTTTTAACGGAGTTGATTTTTACTCCTGGAGCTTCGAGTTTGAACTTCTAGCACAGTCTGCCAGGCTACGGCTGTTCTTCTCCGGCGAGTTTACATATCCTGTTACGGGAAATCAACTGGAGCAGCAGAGTTTCTTGCACGCCTCTCTCGGGGCGTATACGATTCTTGTTTGAAACATATCGCCAAAGGAGCAGCTCGGCATTCGATCTTTCCATTCCAGCTTTACGCCAGCTGAAACTGCATGGAGACACTTAAAAAGGGTGTATATTGCGCAGGATACAATCACAGTGAGTAAGATTCTTTCGCAGCTGACAAATGTGCAGATGATGACAAACGAGAATGTCATGGATTACGTCAATCATGTACGCACACTACGAGATCAATTGGAGAAGATTGGTGGATACTTCCTTCGTGAGATGTATCTCACGGTCCTTCTTGCTTGACTTGGTCCCGAGTGGCGACAGACGCGCGCCTTCTTGCGCATGAAGTGCGGTACACTTAAGTTTTTACTCAAACCCAGTGCCGCAACAACGACTTCCCCCAAAATATCCCTTCTGTCATTTCTACAAGAAACCAGGACATACTTACCAGACCAGTCGCAGTTGATATCAAAACCGTTGCAGTTCTTCACAACCGTATCATCATTCGCAGCAGTTACAGAAGTCACATCAGCCAACGCAGCAGTCGACGTCCAAGACACAGCAGATGCAGAAACCACCACATAATATACCTCTCTCACAACACCGTCCTCTGGTTTTTCCATCTGTAACATCAGGAAAAGGGGTTTTTGGATGTGTTACGACAGTTGATGTTTCAGATACCGATTTCGAGACACAACTTGAAGAAACCACCAGTGCAGAGGGCATTCCCTTACCGCAAGTTTACACTAACCTTGCTCGAGTCATTTCAGGACCCAATACTTGGTATCTCGACAGCTGTTGTGGTTGGCACATGTGCTCCGCTGAAACAAGCTTCATCACCAATCAGCGACCACTTCGTCGTTCGATACCTGTCATAGTTGCAAACAGACAAACCATCATGACCAAATCCATCGGAAGTGTAATGCTCGAGTCCGTCAACACGGGATATTCCTTACATGTTACCAACGTCCTTATTGTCGTTGGCCTTGGTTTTAATCTCCTCTCATTAGCTCAACTCTTGGCATACAAGATTCGCACACAAGGCAATTGTAGTACAATGGATCAAGAGTTATGGCACAATCTGACGAACACTTACCTTGGTCGCGCTGCTACTCAACATGGGGTATCCGTTCTTCAGTTCACGTCACAGGGCACCTCTGGCGATTCTGAACGCGTCCTCGCTCTCAATCCCTGGGATCATCCCGACGACACTGATTATCAACAAGTTGATGTTGATTTTCGTGCAACTACCGTACCCACGACTTCTCGAACCGCAGCTGCCGTTCTAACTGCTCTTGATACTTGGGAGTTCAACACCGCCGATGAAAGCGCCAACGCTTGGCGAACGTTTTATAACGCTCCTGCCGCTTTCCAAGGAACTCCAGCTCCATCTTGGGGAGAAATCAGTGGTCTTGCAGCTGATGAACCCGAATTCGTCGAGGAAGTCGCGAAAACAGAAGTCGTCGAGCAGCCGAGTCGCACAGTAGCTGTCGCAGAACCATCTGCCATCACATCAACAGCCGCAGTATCAGACGTTGCAATTGCAACTGCAGCAGAGCCGTCAAACATTCAATTACCACTTACCCGTTTCGTGAAAGGGGAGATCGAAATGACTCCAGCTCTTTCTCCTTTCATCGTTTCTTCGTTTTATACTAACGCCGATTTTTATCTGCGATCAACAGGACACAAAGCCACAGAGGACATTTGGCATCAAAGGTTAGGACATTATCGCAAGGGATTTTAAATCATTCAATTTAAGCAGCAGTTCTTGATAAAAACAGTCTTCTCTTACCTGACGGCACGGAGATGAAACCACAATCTCGCCCAATGGTTTGCACCACGTGTCCGATAGCCAATCTTACCCACGACCCGTTTCCGAGTCATTTTCCTGGCTCAATTCGTTATCGACTGATGCAAAAGGTTTACAGTGATATTCTCAACTTACATGAAGCAGGACCTAAAGAGGAGCAGTATGTGATTACCTTTATCGAAGCATCTACTCGCTACGTTTGGACAGCCAACCTTCATGCTCGTTATCTCGCCCATTCGGTCTTCGTCGCATGGCTCGCTGTCGCTGAAAGAGAGTCTGGAGCAAAACTGCAAGAATTTCAGAGTGATGGCGCAGGGGAGTATACGAGCAACACTTTCATAGACTACCTCCAAACCCTCGGCATCAAAAGGAAGCAATCTCTGCCACATGCACACCAACAGATGGGGGTAGCAGAACGGATGAATCGAACTCTGCAAGAGAAGATGCGTGCTCTGCTGACGCAGGCAGCTCTTCCTCCTCGTTTTTGGCCATATGCGATGGACCATGCCGTGCTACTACATAACCTGCTGTCATCAACATCATTGCCCGAATTTTCTTCTCCTCACCTGCAGTGGACACGTACAGTGGGAAGTACAAAACTCTTACAAGTTTTTGGGTGTGTCATGCAGTATAAACCTCCTACTGCAGCACTTGGCAAATTTTCAGAACGGGCAAAATGGGGGGTCCACCTCGGCATCGAAAAACCGTATCACGCATGGAAGATTTTGGATCTACGTTCAAACCAACTCGCCCCTTCACGTGATTGTCTTTTCTATGAGCAGCTCACCTTGCCCGTATTTTGTGCCCACCAGGCAGCAGCTGCCAACCCCGCCAGGCTGTTCGAAGGCTCGCGTGCATTTGCAACCGACGAAGCAGAAGCTGCTGTACAAGACAAGGCAGTTTATGAAGCCCCCGAAGCTGCCGCCATAGACACCCCGGAACCTGTCACGTCGTCTGGCATCCCCGAGTTTATTCCCCTCGCTGATGCTGACCCGGATGACGTTCGCGAAGTACACCTCGGTTACGAACGCGATCGTCAACATCAG